AAAAAAAAAAAAAAAAAAAAGTCCGTGGACACTAGGCCTCGGGTACGGTGAAGTCGAGACTGACTGTGAGACCTATATGACGCCCCAGAATAGTGCCTTGGAGTCGAAAGGATAGGAATGAATTATTCTTTGTGAAGATCTTTTTTACTCTCTAACACAATTAGATGTAATTGATTATATCTGCTTTTTGAGTAGTCTAGAACCTTAATCAATTGACTCCTTGACGGCAACAAGTGAGTCGAGTGTTAGGACAAGGGTTTGTACTAGGACAGTCGCAACGCGAACCGAGACTACAAACGTCCCGTTTCAGCACACGCTGGAATGCAGTTCGATGTCATTAAACCAGTTTCCTAAGCGATACATGTCTCACACCTACTGTTCATAAATCCGGTTTCATTGACAACGTATGTTCGGATGCCTGGGTTTGGCACTCTGCCGTGAGTGACAGACACGGGGCGGAATACAGAGCTGGATCCGCGCGCCGGTGGATCCCTTCTACCGGTCGACACCGGTCCTCAGATCTATTTTTCGATGTACTGATCCTTGGAGGTCTATGAGACGTGGGACCCGGTTACCCGCAGTTGTTGCTCCCCACCAATGGACTGGAGCAACCAGCGGAAGGCATACTACTAGAGGGTGCTGCTCGTATCACTCCCTCTAGTTCACCCCACCCAACCCTAAAGCTGGGTTGCAATGGATACATCCACACTTTTCCTCCCTTTGGAGTAAAATTCACAAAACCGTGACTGAAACGCATTTAAAACTGAAAACCTTGACTGCGCCTTAGTTTTCCCAAAACGAAAAGGCTTCCTCTAGTGCATGGTTGACCTACATACCTCCAGGCTTTTTTTTTTTTTTTTTTTTTACCTCCAGGCTACGCTCCTTGCAGTTGATCTTCTTAGCCAAAAGGCCGAGAAGGTATCATGTTCTGCCTTCGGCTTTGCAATGAAAGGAGATCATCACCTGTCTATCAACGTTTCTCGTTTTTTGGGGGGGTAACCTTTTTTTTTTTTTTTTTTTAATAACAAAAAATCCCCCGCCAGTGTTAGTGGTGCTGATAAGAGCAGTATTACAAATTGGCTGTGACCCAAAACATGAAAAACAGTTTGAAATTACACTTCAAGCATTTCCCCGAACATAACACACCTCCACATAACCCTACTTGACCGGAAAGATAGGTTGTATACATTGCCCGAAATGCAATTTGAAACCTTTTTTTGCCCGAGGTGTATTTTCAAACTCTTTTTTTGACTCCCATGTAGTTTCCCGTTTTTTTCTTTTTATTATATAGAGACAACTGCGCCTGTGACCGCTGCACAGTTCAGAATTCGCAGAAATAAAACAGCAAAAAAAACAGCAAACTATGCTTTCCGCGGCCTACCGGTTTGGCAAAAACTGGAGGTGGCCTGGCCTCGCAGGCCCTCCCGTTTTTTTTGTTTTTCTTTTTTTCGGTTTTGGCTTCTGGCCGGAATGGGTTTGGGATGGAAAAAGATCCCACTTTGTCAGTACAGGAAAAGCCGCAGACGGCCCCCGCCCCTCTCTCTCTCTCTCTCTCTCTCTCTCTCTCTCTCTCTCTCTCTCTCTCTCTGTGTGTGTGTGTGCTGAGACGACCCACACCTTGTAAGTAATGATACAGATATCTACCATGCATTGCATAGAACCATTTCCTTTTGGACATCCTAATCTTCTCAGTATGTCTTCAAGCCTCTCTTTCTCCTGCTGTCTCACTATTAGTCTTCGCCGCCCACTCCCGCTCCTGCTACGGCTCTCTCTG